AAAATTAACACTAAAGCCAAAAGGTATTCTTGTCAGACACGTTTGCACAATTTGAAACTTGAGATTATTTTCAAGTATAAAAATCTAATGTCCTAGGGGATACTTTTTATCTCAGGAATCAATTCTTGCTTTTTAAATGTTTAGTACATTAATTTGTGTTTATTTTCCTGATGTAGGAGAGCATGCGTGAGATGTGAAAAAGATAAATTCTAGTGGTTTTGTGAGGTCAGGATCACAGTAGGGAATCTGGAAGTGAAAGAGGAAATAATGTTTTGTAGTTCTCCTTCTCACATAACTTTGAGGAGAGCTCTAAAGACTTCTGTAAAAACAGTACAGGACATCACTTTTAACTGCAACATGGTTTCATCCTCATTGGCTGATCAGTTTTCTTGCATGATTTCTCCTACGTTGAATCCATAGCTCTGTACATTAATTGGAGCTATGTATCCAACCTGGAAAAAGAAAAAAAAAAAAGCAGGCAAGAAAAGCTGTTGGCTGCCGAGGTATCCTAGATGGTAATACAGAAATGTTGTAATCCTTGCATGGTAAGGAGTTAACGTACGGCCTTTTTTTATAGCTTTAGGGTGCACTTCTGCAAATGCTTTACGACATAATACTGCAATATCAAATGATACTACTTGGAGATCTTTTGTGCTGTAGTTCCAATTCCTACTAATGTTTCAAACGGCATTGTTTTTATGTAAACTGTTCATAATTAGTAAGAGTTGGCTTTTCTGTTGCAAAACTTTCAGGATGACACTTTCTAGTACGTCAGGTATTTTGGTTAAGTGGATGACTTCTGAGTGTTGTGGTTTGCTGTATACCAATCTGTTAACTGTGTTAAGCTCTATTGCACTACTTATATTTAAAAAAAAAAAAAAAGGCAGTAATTTGAGCATCTTGGAGCTTTTCTCTCCAAAGGTGCTATCTGTCATGAACACTTGCACTGTTGACCGTGAATTTGGTACGAACATGTTAAAGAAATTGTCCTATGTGGTTTACTCAGCACATACAAGAAACTTCCCACGGTCAGCCTATGTACTAACAAATGCAGTACTTTGTTGGACTGATTACATGACCACACACATCTTAAAATTAAAATCCTGTTTCCATTTATGGTGCTAAAGTTATCTTAAAAATTATCAAGAGTTGATCTTTTGCCCATGAACATTAAAGAAAGCTGTTGTGACAATAAAAGAAAATTTCTGTACATCTTAAGCCTGTTCCAAATGCTTTTTATATAATTAAGACCCTTTTCTATTTCTGCTTTATATAAAAACTGCAAAACATTTCAGATTTCTAGTACAGGAGAGTGTTAGGAGTGTATGGATTTAGACTACATGTGCAAGATAAAATTTTCGTTCACGCTTAGGATAGCTAATCTTCTGAAACTCAGAAAATCCAAGAATTGTATTAGATAGGATCAAGGCATAAGCTAATAGTTTTGTTTGGTGTATGGGTTTTGTGGTATTTGTTTGTTTTTTGTTTTGTTTAAGAAAACCAAAACAATTCTCTGACTTCATCATTGTCTGGAGCCTTGGAGAGACACAGGATGTGAAATGGAGAATACTGTATTAGGAGAACACTGATTCTGCAATGTAGATCCATGATTTGCTGAAACTTCCTAAAAAAATCCCCAAACTTGTGACATAACATGACCAGATAACCATATCTAGGGAACAGAAGTGAAACTTGACATAATTACTAAGGCTGCTCACAGTAGGACATAAAAACACATGAAAGCAAGTTAAACTAGGATTATTTACACTGTGAAACAGCAAAGTAATTTTCTAACTTTGTTTACAAGTAACCTCCTCTTAAGATGAAAAACTACCTTATGCGTTCTGGTGCAGAAGATACTGTTGTGGCCTCCCCTCAACCCTCCATTTGGTTACGATTTAAATTGTATATAGTGAAGAACAATGCCTTTCCAAATCTTTTCAAAAGGCATCTTTGGGCAGCAGTATCTACACTTTCCCTCCATTGGGAATACAAAGCCTTTAATTGTTCTACCTTCTAAGCCCCTTGTATCTCAGCTTGCAGTTGTAAAAGTATCTGCCTGTAATGCATTTTGAAGTGCTACTATAGTCAGCTCTAAGTATGATGCTTTCAATTGATGGTGACATATGAACATGCAGAGCAGGTGCCATGTCCAGGTATGTGCTGGTGAGCAAGAGAGGTGTACGTACAAGGGTGTACCCTGGAACACTGCAGCACTCCCTGCTTTGAAGTAGTTACACCTTGAGGTTCTGGTCACTAAACTGTTACCTTTCATATACTGGAATAAGTTCTGTTGAATCACTTGTACCTAGTACTTCAAGAAATAAATGGGTTTCTCCAGGATCTATTTTATGGAAATTCTGTGACTGTGCAAAGAATATTCCAGGTCTAAAGTAACTTAATTTAAAGCAGAAACAATCACACTATCCAGATAAAAGCAGGGATGGCTGGGTTTTTTGTTGAGTGAAGATGGCTCATCTAGTAGTGCTAGCTTATATTGTGTCTTGCTACTTGTCTCGATGCTTGCTTTAACAGTAGGACACTTAGAAGAGCCAAAGATAGAACAAGGTCATCCATAACAGTTCTAAGCCACACTGAAATACAAGTTTTACTATTTTTTCATTACTAGATGCTTTAGAAACAAATGGTTGTCTTTTTTATTATTTATTTACCAAAGAAGTGCTGTCCTTACAGAAATATTGAGATAGATACTGTATGTTTAAATGCCCTGAACAAACGTTTGCGAGCACGTGAGACACACTTGGCTGAAAGCAGATTTTCAGCATTAGCATCTGATGTAAATAACAGAAACGTGTTTGTCACTGCACTGCTCTAACTCAGAACTTTACAATAATTCCAGTGTTTTTTTGACAAGGATAGATTTTTGTGACAAAAGTGCCTGGGGAAATAAAAATCCAAAAGTTGCCTGCAAGCTTAAATAAAGCTTAAAAAAATCACAGCCCATACTTGAAGAGAATGGATGCTAACTCAACAACTGTAGAGAGTAACTAGTCAATACTCAGAAGGGTTGAGAGGATTCAAAGACAGAGATAAATTTTGAGAAAGGAGTATTATGTTGCTTTTGAGAATTTACTGTATGCATTAAACTTCCAGTGTTTCTGCTTGGGCCTTAGCTGTGTAACTAAGAAAAATGAGTTAATGGTTAACTTTAAAGGAAAATTAGTTAGTTTGAACTATTGTATTTTTTAAAACACTCATTTTAATGACAGTCATTGGTGGGATTTTTCTTTTGCTTGTTACATGGAGAACTGTTTTGGGTTTGTTCTTTTTTTTTTTACCTGTTAAGAGTGGCCACCAAGTGCTTTGATTACTCAGTTTACAGTAAAACAATTTGAGGAATAGATTTTCCTTGAGTGCAGAATTAAATGGGGGTGGTATGTGTTATACTGATATGAAGACTGAGTAGTAATAATTTCCAAGGAAAACATTATGGTGTTAAAACTCGTACATGTAGTTATTTGGGGCATGCAGAATATTAATAAGTACTTGGTTATATTTTGCCATTAATTTTATGCTTTAAAAATAGTCTATTTCTAGTTTTAATTGGAAAAGCTGACTTTAATGTTTCGACAACTATTTTTGAGTAGAAACATCCATTTAATGATACTTAAGAGCAACCTTTACAGTTGATCAGTAAATTCATTTAAAACTATGAAAGTAGTTTCATTTTTTTTGTCAAACCTAATGTGAAATATAATCTCTGGGCAACCCAAGACTGGCCATATGCTACTGAAACCAATCTTTCAGCTGCATATGGAGGCAAAGACACAATTTCCTTATCTAGTCCTACTTCTCAGCTAGACTGAGAAGGAAGGCGGCTAGATTGCCGTTACATAAAGAAAATAGGCAACCCAGTAATGTAGTTCAGTTGTGCTGAATAGCTTAGCTTCTTCTTTTCAGACTGTAGCACTTAAACTTTGAGACTCAAATTTAAAATGTCTGTGGTTCAGATAAATTTTCACCTGTTATTTCTGTATTTTTCTTACAGATACATTTTATTGGTGTCCACTGTAATTAACTACAGAAAAAGCTGCATTCTGTTCTGCCAATTTAAATCTGTGATCTAGTTTTTCCTACTTTGTTTAATCCATGGCTAGTAAAATGTCCATTTTCTGTTCATGTTAGACTAAAGCCATGTTGCACACAGTTGCCTTAACTGCTTGGAGGAAAACTGACCTTAACCATTTGAAGCTTTATGTATTTCTAAAATTGCTCTAACTTTTGTATAATTGCAATAAAACCTTTTAAATACAGACCAGCCACTGTTTAAAGAACCACTTGTCACTATCTTTATTGAATGGTCAAATATTTAAAAACAAAGAAAGAAACACCACCTTTCTTTAACGGGTAAACACCACTTGTTCTTTCCCTTTTTATTTTTCGGGGTCACTTTAAAGGTGGTGTACTTGTCATTTGCCCACAATGCTTTTCTCTTTTAGTGAGGGGCGTATGAAAAGGGCACGATGCCCCGGGCATGGAGAGATTAAGAACTAAACCCCTCTTTCCTCTAAAACTTAGGCTCACCTCAGGCCCCTCTGTGCTGTTCTGCATTTATGAAGCAGTTACTCAACCTAGAGCTGGGATATTGTTCCAGGTTAGCCCTTGATTATGAAAGCAAGCTTTTTGTGCAGTGCAGGCTTTTGTATTTGGGAAGGGGAAGAAGCGTTTATCTGTATTTCCTTTCCTTCTACACCCTAATAAAAATAGGTGTTTGGCTAAGGTGGCTTTTGAAGTGAAGCCCTGTGAGGCTGTGAGGAGCAGTCACTTTTTATCTTGCCGGCTGGACATGTGATGTTCAATGAAATTTTTGCCCTCGGGCTTAGTCCAAGTTCAAGAGTCAGTCAAAAATAAAATCCAACCCCCCAAAATAAACAAAAATACAGCCCCCCCCCCAAGCACTAATTTGCCATTTCACCGTGCCTGACACAGCCCCTTATACTTAAACCAGCTGCTGCTCCTGCCTGGGGCTGGTGGCGGCGTGTGGAAGTTCCCCGACACCTCCCGCCGCCTTTCCCCTGCTCACCTTGAGGAGCCGCCGCTATCTAACGGGCGCGGCGGGAGCGGAGCCCGGCCCCCCCAGGGCGGACCGTTACCCGCCCACAACCCCGGCGGGGACGGGTTCAGGGCGCTGACAGGCCTCGCAGCCCGCCCCCGCCATCTTAGGCCGCTAAGCAGCGGGAGGGGGCGGCGGGCCCGCGGCGGGGTGCCTCGCCGCCTGAGGGGATGGCGGCGGCGGGCATGGCGGCTTGGACGTGGCTCCTGCGGGCCCCCACCGCCACCGAGCTGCTGCTGGCGGCCCTGTGCTGGCTGAGCTGCTACTGGCTGCTGCGGCGGCCCCGGGCGCCGCCGGGACTGCCGCCGGGCCCGGAGCCTTGGCCGCTGGTGGGCAACTTCGCCTTCGCGCTGCTGCCTCCGCCGCTGCTGCGGAGATGGGCAGTGGAGGTGAGGGGCGGTGGCAGGGGCTGCCCCGCCTTCTCCCCCCACGTCTTCCTCACCGGCCTCACCAAGCTGTACGGCGGCGTCTTTCGACTGTTCGTAGGCAGCCGGCCCTTCATCGTCCTGAACACCTTCGGGGCAGTGCGGGAGGCGCTGGTGCAGAAGGCGGAGGTGTTCAGCGACCGGCCCTCCGTCCCCATCGTCCTCATGATCACCCGCAAGAAGGGTAAGCGGGGCCGGCGGGCTGCTGGGGGTCTGGCCGGGGAAGGTTAACGGACTGAAAGGGCCGTACTTGTCAAGAGCCCGAAGCGGGACCTGTTCGGTTTTGTGACTTCTCTACCGTTCGCTTACTTTTCGCTAATGGTGCGTATGCCTTGCCGTGCTGGTGACAGCCTGCAGGGAGAAACGCGCCCTCCCTGCCTTTAGATGAACGTGCAGCATGAGTGCGATGTGGTGTGCGCCGCAGGCGGCAGCGCGACACTGAAACGCCTGACCCCTTTACCTGTGGTTGTTGTGGAGGGGTTGGCGTTTGTGCGGGCACTCGGGGGAGAGCTAGTTCGTCACCTCGTGGCTTTCTGATTGTCGCTCTGTCAGGAGGAGACGTTTCGAATACTTTGGCAGCGGTATGAAACTGTGCGGTTCCCCAGTGCTTGCCAGGGTAACGGTGGTTAAGATTGGGCTTCTCGGAGTCCTGTAGCTGTGCAGTCTGCACTGCCTGCATGCAGGCTGCTGAGATGTTTACAGATGTGTTATTCTGCTTGCCAAAACCTACTGAGCATATTTGTTTTGTTGGTTTTTCTTTTAATAGGTCGACGGAGAGTTCACTAGTTTCGCAAAAAAAGGGCATGAGGAGTTCAAACACATGTTGTCAAATCCACGGTTAGCACTTCTGCGTGTTTGGCCTCTAAGGTCATTGCAGGGCCTCAGTGTTTGTGGAAAACTGCCTTCCACTGTCCGTTTAGGCGATACAAACCAGGAGGATTGTTAATGTGCTGCACTGTATTGTGAAACTTGTTTACCTTCTCTTCTCAAGGCCTGGCAAATCTGTTGGTTAATGCCTGAAACTTTTTTCTTCTATTTTTTTCTGTACCAGGGTTATCCCAGTAAGGATAAAAGGCAAGGAAGGGACCTAGATTGTGTTTATTAAACAGCAATCAGGTACCATTGCTGCAATTGGTTTAAAGGATAAGAAATAAATTATTAATGGTACTGGTTCGGTCGGGGACATCTTACTGGCATGTTGTAATAAAGTGTGAGAATATTTTTAGGTGCAGTACATTCAGCGAGGACTGGGAGGAAACTTAAACTTGGGGTTCAGACTTAAAAGGGGTGCATTTAGGTTAGATGCAAGGAAGAAATTCTTTACTGTGAAGGTGGTGAGGCACTGGCACAGGGTGCCCAGAGAATCTGTGGCTGCCCCATCCCTGGCAGTGTTCAAAGCCAGGCTGGATGGGGCTTGGAGCAACCTGGTCTAGCGGATGGTGTTCCTGCCCATGGCAACGGGGTTGGAACGGAATGAGTTTAAGGTCCCCTCCAACCCAAACCGCTCTCTGATTCTATGAGCAGTTAGATGTTAGATCACTTTTAGCTGTGCTGTAAAACTGCATGTTAAGGCTTGTGGTGTATTTCTCCTGGAACGCTGTGAATTTTATGTGTTTCATGTTTTCTGCAGATAGGTCTCAGGCTTTTCTGAGCACGGTGACACAAGAGGAGACAGGGCGTTTAGCAGCTTCTGCAGTTGGTGGATGCTCCAGGGGAGCTGAAAGTGTCAGGAGCCTGTTGCCTGGAGCGTTCTGCAGCCAAGTGCTGGGACTGTACCTGTCTGCATTGCGCTGTGTGGTGGCAGGGACATTATATTGCCTTACGTTTACTTTTATCTGGGAGGTCACCATAGGAATGAGGACTGTTACATTGCCCAGTTGTCTATAAAACCTACTGAGCTCTTATGTATTGCTTATGTTAGCTGGTGCAACCAGATCAATTGCTGCAGGTGTGAGACTATTGTGGAATTAACCACAAATTCCCTTTGCGTATTCTGACTACACAAAGGGATAGGTCAGTGAATATGGGCAGTGTGGGCCTGCCTGGCCTCCGTGCAAGGAGGTTCTCTAAAAGCCACTGGAAGTCACAGCTGCTGTCAGTAGCCTGGCTTGAATTTAGTGGTAGTGTGTAGGAGAGGACTGAACCTCTGCAGTGCTGCATTTGTACTACTGGGAAGGCAGTTGCTGCGGAACCAGTGGGGTAAGAGGGGAGCAATACATTTTCTGAAAGCTTTGTGTTTTTTTCCTTTTTCTGTGGTATAGGTACAATACCACAGTTTTCAGATATTGTCCATAAGAGCTATGTATTAGCGAGTCTTTCTCCTTGTGTGTGGTTCATCGTGGAGGAGGTGGATGGGTTACAGCACTCAAACTGGAGGCCTCTTATGTTTGGTCTGTGAATCTCCTGTGCTTAGTTTCATGAGTTCATGGGTGAGATTTTGCTATAGATCAGGGCAGTGACAGTTGTGTTTGCACTAGGAAAAAAAACAGAGAAGTGGAATGATTGTATAACTTTAGATCTGCCCCTCATGTCTTGGCTACTACAGTGCTGGGATTCAGTAAGTGTCCATTTTGGATTCCCGCATCTTCATGCTGTAAACAAACTACCTGGTGTAAATTTAGGGGGCTGTTTTCTTCTAAGCTACATTTTCTGTTGTAGTTTTGTCTTTACCCTGAGCTGACATGCTAGGTATGTTACAGAAGAAAGAAGGGCTTATCTCAGCTGTGTGTGGCTGTGTTGTGTGCAAGATGCAGATAAAATATTGTGCCCAGGGGAGAGCAAGTAGGAATATCAGGAGTGGCAAATACTGCATTTCAGCAACTGAGTAGCTGCCTTAGCTGGATGGAAAGCATGGTGAAACCTTTAAGGAAAAGGTAGAAGTCAATTATTAATTGAAGGATTCTGCACATAATGCCTGCAGAAAGAGAAATACTATGGGGTGGGGGGGGGGGAGGGAGAGGAGTACGTTTTTGAATTTCTGTTTTAGTAAAGCATTTTTCTATTCTATATCTGTGAGAGGTGGCAAAGACTCAGTTGTAGAGTGGATGGTGCTTGAGTGGTTGTCTGCCTTTATAGTCCTGCCCTGTGTACATCCAGATGTGGACATCGGACAATACAGAAGTTAAATGCTATTAAATGTAATGAATTCTGTGTTTGTAAATGTTTCCAGTATTGCAGCAACACTAAAGCTAGCAGAAAGAAATCTGGGGGGAGGGAAAGAGGGGAAATAAAACAAATTTTCTATTTTTCTCTGTGTGTATTGCTCTGTTGGTTGTACTGACAGGTTTTCATTACCAGTTCATAGAATTAGCCCTGTGTAATAAGCATGAAATCCTGTTTTTTCTGAGTTCATGGTGCTTCAGAATTTATTATTGTATTCTTTTCAGGTTGGGTTTTTGTTGTTGTTGTTTTGGGTTTTTTGTTTGTTGATGTTGTGTTTTCTTTTTTAAAGAATACAGATGCCTGTGTTGGGCATGTTCACTTTTCAGAGATTTTCTTCAAAAACAGTGAACTACTATTTCAGTACTACTGCCTGGCAGTGATCCAGTTAGCAGTTTTCTTTCTTATCTTATCGCTTGTTATTCTAACTTTATGCTCTTCTTCCTCCTTAATGTGTCTCCTGTTTATTCATTCCTAGTTTGCAAATCAGTTATTAGTATTCTGCAGTCTGGGGGTTCTGGGCTTCAGAAGACATCATGCCATTCAGCTGTGCCCCATGCAGGACTGTTGGAGAGACTGTTGGGAGGTTTGTTGTTTTCAGGCTTCCTGGATGGCTGCAAGTGTCTTCTTTACATTCAAGACAACAGGATCCTCTGTTTTGATCCTAAAACTAGTTTTCCTAATAACAAAAAGGGGAAGAGATTGTGGATGTACAGTCTGTTCTGTAGATACTTGTTGTGGGATAGAAATGGTGATAATGTTGTTTCAATAAATCCTCGATTTCCCCACCCCAGCCACAAACCATGAAAACCCAAATTGGTTCTTGGCCAAATTCAGCCCTCAATAACCCTGTTTTTCACCTACCTTACTTGAGGACACCAGTGCTATCAGGAAACATCACTTGAGAAAGGGAATCTGAAAATATTTTAGTTCTGTTTTTAAAGTGCCAGGGAATAGACATTTCAGTAGGTTTCTGAAAGATTGTCTTCAGCAGGGAACATGAAGTTCAGCTGATTCTCAGCTTGTTCTCACTCCTGATGTTCTGCTTATTTTGTTTAGGACTTTCAAACCTAGGTCATGTGTTTGTATTCTTTGGTCTGTTGTTACTACTGTAAGTAGTTAATGTAATCAGGAAATCTGGCTGGAAAGTTTACCAGATTTATGTTACGCTGAACTATTTATACCTTTGGGATTGCAGACCCTTGTGAGTATATATATACATATCTATAGATTTATGTTGCTAGCCATAGATATCTTATTTGTTTAGTCTGCTTTTTGCATTAGGGGCTATGAACATTAAGTTGTAATAGAAATGTAGATGATGTTAAGTATCAAAACATGGTTCATCTTTCTGTTGCTGATTTCTTGTGGCCATTTCTCTTTCTTTCTTTTGAATTCAACAGTAAGGTTTGCAGTTGACAGCAGAATTGATGTTGCTTTTATAAAGTAACTTCTTATTTCCAGAAAAAAATATGCATGGCATCGCTTTACCAGAAGAGTAAGGGCAGAGCTACCCTGTAGCTGATGACTAAACTTTCTCAGGCTAATCATGAAGCCTGGGAACAGCTCTGATAGCACCGACGGTTTTAGTTGTTGCTCAGTAATGTTTATTCTGACCAAGGACTTTGTGAGTCTCACGCTTTGCCAGGGAGGAGGGAAAGCCGGGAGGAAGCAGAACAGGACACCTGACCCAAACTAACCAAAGGGGTATTCCATACCACAGCACGTCATGCCCAGTGTGTAAGCTGGGGGCAGTTACCCGGAAATGCAATATCACTGCTCGGTCGGGCGGGGTATTGGTCGGCTGGTGGTGAGCGGTTGTATTCTCTTCCCTTGTTATTTCCCTTATCATTATTATCATTGGTGGCAGCAGCAGTGGTTTGTGTTATACCTTAGTTACTGGACTGTTCTTATCTCAACCATGGGAATTACATTCTTTCGATTCTCCTCCCCATCCCCCCAGGAGCAAGGGGAGGAAGGAGAAGGAGGGGGGCAGTGAGAGAGCGGCTTGCGTGGTTCTGAGTTACCGGCTGGGCTTAAACCACAACTTGTTAGAAATAACAAGTTGTGTATTTTGTTATGCTGTGGTATCTTTGGTGTTGTCTGTTAATCAACAAAAGAGAATGTTTATACTTGAAGCTAAGGGATTTAATTTTAATGGTGTTTCATAATAACACAATCATGCAAAACAGGTGCCTAGAGGCATCAAAAATGTCAAGATGCAAATCAAGCAGGTTTTTGCCAAGTGGCTGTAAACCTGTCTTCACCTTCCCAGTTTGTCTACAGCATGCATATCCTGTATTTTGTTTATCACAAAATCACAGAATGGTTTGGATTGGAAGGGGCCTTAAGGATCATTCAGTTCCAACCTCCCTGCCATGGGCAGGGACACCTTCCACTAGATAGGTTGCTCAAAGCCCCATCGAACCTGCTCTTGAACATTTGAACACATTGTAAGCTAAAGAAAAACCTTGCTTGTAATAGAAATAGGTACACAGGGAAAAAGTATTGAGAATTTTGCATAGCGTGAAGGGGAAATTAAATAAAAACCAGTTTCTGTTTTAGTATCATCTCTTCTGCCTTGCTGAAGGAATTTGTGTTTCAGGACATTGAGAGGAAAAGGCTGTAGCAAGCATATGTCCCAGAATGTCAGTTCCTACATAATTGCCATCACTTGTCATAATGATGTAATAAGTTGTGATAAATTTGTAATAAATCATCTATAGTGGCTTTTCTCTGTCTATTAGTGTCTTGCAAAGACTAGTAAAAATATTGATGTAACTGTTACATTAATTTCATTTGTTGGGAAAAAGAGAGGCAGAATTTCCCGAAGCTGTTATAAAGAACCTTGTGGTCTTCCTTTAGCTCCTAGCTTGGGATAGATTTGCTGTGTATTGTTTCCCTCTGTTCTGGTACTCGGTTTGCACGCTTGTCTAACTAATTCTTGAAAATAGAACATTTTGGTTTCAGACTCTCCCTTTGTCTTCCAGGTGTTATTTTTGCACCTTATGGCCCTGTCTGGAAGCAACAGAGGAAATTCTCTCTTTCAACACTGCGTCATTTTGGAGTAGGAAGACTCAGCTTAGAGCCAAAAATCATTGAGGAGCTGAAGTTTATAAAGGAGGAAATGCTGAAGCATGGAAAAGATTCATTTAATCCCTTTCCAATAATTCGTAATGCAGTATCCAATGTTATCTGTTCCATGGCCTTTGGCAGGCGTTTTAACTACGAAGATACTGAGTTCAAGACAATGCTAAAGAACATGGCCCGTGCCCTAGAGCTAAGTGTGAACCGCTATATGATCCTGGTCAATATCTGCCCTTGGCTGTACTACCTTCCCTTTGGGCCTTTCTGGGAACTTAGGAAAACAGAATTAGATATTACTGCTTTTCTAAAGAAAATAATTGCACAGCACAGGGATACACTGGATGCAGCAAATCCCAGGGACTTCATTGATATGTACTTCATCCATGCAGAAGAAGAAAAAAACAACAAAGAGAGCAGTTTTAATGAAGACTACCTGTTTTTTATCATTGGTGATCTCTTCATCGCAGGCACAGACACTACTTCCAACACATTACTGTGGTGCCTGCTCTACATGTCTCTCTACCCAGAAGTACAAGGTAAGACTATTTGTGTTCTGGGTGTTTTATTCCAGACTGTAACGCTCTAGTTCGATGTTCAAAACCAGAAGCAAACAGCAGCAGTAGAGAAGTCATTTGGAGTGCAAATAGTGTATGTGTAAAATGAAAGGTTGGTATGTAGTCAGACATCTTCTAACCTGCTCTGCTATGATAATCTCTAGCTTAGTGCTATATATTAACTACTCAAATGGCACTTTAGTCTATTCATTTCTTCTGGTTTGGGACAATTTTTCCCAAGCAATTCCAGGGAGCCTGAGCATAGTTCAAAAGTTTTGTCAGTTGTGGCATTCCAGGCCTATAATACTAGTATATGAGAGATACATAGCGGTTGAAGCCTGCTTTTATGCCTCTGTGATCAGGGAAGCTCTTGAGTTTAGTGACAGAGTCTGGAGAAGTGAAACACTACCCACTGTAAAGGAAGATCTAATTAGAGACAGCTTAAGTAAATTGGACTACCACAAGTCCATGGCAACAGCTGGTCAATGTCATTGCAAGGTCTCTCCCCGTCAGTCTTGAACAGTCTTGGCATTTGGGTAGGATGCTCATGACAGCAGGGGAAGACACATGGAGCACTTGGCCCCAGAGGAGAAGCAGAGGGATCTGGGCTTGTTCAGTGTTAGGGAAAGATGACTGAGGGGAGACCTTATGCTGCCTACAGCTGCCTGATCGGAAGATGCTATGAAGATGGTGGCAGTCTCCTCTGAGGTGTGAAGTGAAGAGAAGCAGCAGAGACAGTCTAGAATAAACAAATTCTGATCAGATACTAGGAAAAAAAAAACAACTCTGCCCTGTGAAGAAAGCCAGGAGTACAACAGGTTGCCCTGATGCTTAACAGAATCCCCAGCTTTGGAAGTGTTCAAAACTCAGTGGGGTATGACCCCGAGTAGTCTGATCTACCCTCAGAGTTGAATCTAATTTGGAAGATGACTGTGTTTTGAGTAATAGTTTAGCTCAGATGACCTCCAGAGGTTCCTTGCAAAACAGATGTTTGATGGTGCTGTGATCTGGTTACCGTTTGTAACAGAGTTCTAGAAAATTAATTTTAGATTTTTGTGGATATAAAAAAAATACCAGTAGTGTTGGAGATGTTGCAACATTAAAACAGTAGTTGCTAGCATTGTGTTCAGGACTTCTTAGGATAAATTTTCATTGCCAAAGACTTAAAATTCATTTTGGTTAAATATTTTTCTATATTGAGTCTCGTTACAGTACATAAGTTTGCAAAGCCAGTGTTGTGTTTTTATTATAGTACTGTTTAGCAAATTTAGATGGTTGAATTTAAGAAAAATAAAGCAATTTGGTTTATTCATTTATTACCAGCTTTTCCTGAAGTGCTACATAGCAGCTTATTTCCACAAGAAAGATTGCTGGGGGTATGCTGACTAGAAACCTTGAGCAGATTCTACTTAGGCAATTCTACCTCAGTTTACAGTAGTGAAACATTTTCCCAAGAGACCACCGCTTTGCCCAGGCTTCTTGCTAACCTGGAGTGGAGAAGGTTAATCCTCAAGTTATCCAAGAACACACTATAAACCTGGAATACTTCTATCAAGTATTTCACTTTTTGAGGTTTTCATGTGCTGCGGCTGCTTTGCAAATAAGCAAATAGGTACTTGTTTACCTATTTGTCTGGGAACAGTCTCTTTAAATAGGTCAAGATCATAGTTTATTGCACAAAGTCAGCCAAATTGTTGAGCAAAGGTTGCAAATTAGGGCATTGGTTCAGTACGTGGGAGAGAGAGTCCACTGGGGACAAATGTACAATAAAGTTTTATTGCATAGGCTTCTTATTCTTTTTTTTTTAATGGTTGTGTGTTATCACTGCTTGATTTGATATGCAGATACATGAATTAGATATATTCTGAATGACGCAAATGAGAAGAGTTTGGGGCTGGGAGGGTTTAACCCCTTTCTCTACTGCCTGGTACTGTACATAGATGCGTTCGTCAGTTCTTGCTCTTGTGCTGATCTCCAAGTTTTATTGCTTCTCTCTGATTTCAGTTTTCCTTATGCTGTGGCTATTGTTGAGCAACATAAAAACAGGCTCAGTAGTCCAGAGTATATCACTTAGCTATGTAGTGTGATTCTCTTACATCTAGTATCCCATTCTGTATGTATCCTGATTGCCTGGGAGTCATGTATGGGCCTCTATTTTTATTCCCCCCGGTAGTATGTTTCTTTTATCCTGTAAAGGAAATAACCTGAATTGCATAGCTCTTAGCATAGCAAATGTTGCAGACATGGAAGGGCAAATGAAGGGCTATCAGGCGAAAAAATGGAAAGGATGTATTTGTCTGTGGAAGCCAGTTTTGCTTTTCACATGGAAAAAGAGAAAAGAGAGAAAAGGGGTATGTGTGCACATGGGTGCATATAGGGAGGCAGCAGGGAGTATTGGGTTTAGTCTGTTCTCTGACTTTGTTTTGGTCTGTGACTTCTGAAGATCAGTGTGATTTTTAAATACATGAAAGGCAGTGGAGCAGTTCAGTTAACACACTGTTAGTGGAGAACTCTTGACGTCTACATTTCTGCAGTTGGTAATGTGAGCAGCGGTTTGACTGCTTTCTGTATAGTTCCACCTATCTTCAGAAACTCCAAAGAAATGTTGTTCAGGATAAAATGCTGGTGTGATATTTGGCGTGAGACAGTGTCCTTTATTTTTATTTTATATTTTTAACATTGAAAGCTTTACTCATTTAATTTACTGTGGACATGCATACTTGAAAACAGGGCCATAATGTGGCCTTTTAAAAAGTAGCGAAATCCCACAGAGAAGGTCCTCGAGACTCACCCAACTGGCAAGGTACTTTTTTATTCTGTGTTCCTCGTATGAAGACCTGTGTTCTTAGCAAACCCAGCAGGTGGCAGCAACTGCTCACTGAACACAGTTTGTGCAATATAGAGTCAGAATAGTTTGGGTTGGAAGGGACCTTCAAAGGTCATCTAGTCCAACCCCCCTGCAATGAGCAGGGACATCTTCAACTAAATCAGGTTGCTCAAAACCACATGCAGCCTGGACTTGACAGTATTTCTGAATGTTTCTCTGAAACAGACACTTCATTCTTTGCGTTGAGCTTTTATTTAATCTTGAATAGGTGCTAAGGAGAGAAAATAGCAAAAAACTGAAGAGTATCAGCAGCCTGGATCTTGGAAAAGGCAAACAGGACAACCACAAAATACTCACAATATCAAGGGTGAAAAATGAAAACTTTTGACAAAAGGTTAATTTTGAGGTCTCCTCTTTCAAAATTGTCTTGCTGTGTAGCCAGATTCCAAGTCACCTGGAAGAAAAGGCACATCATCTATACATGGGTGAAGCAAATGTTGCATCTTGGAAACTTCTGTGATGAAAATTACTTGTATGCTGAGCCTTGGGGGAGACGAAAGCGGCAAACACATCGTCTGACACTTTCTGCCTCACATGAACGAGAGGGGAGATAAGCTCGTTAACTTCTTTTTTTCCTCTGCAGAAGGGCTGTGTGGGGAAAAGGGCATCAGCTGCTGCATTTTGGGGGAACTGGGAAATGGCTGTTCTGTGAGTTTAGAGTTTAGGTTCTGTGAATAGAAAGTAGGAAACAGCAAGAACAAGTCAAATGTTAGTGTAAGCTTCAATGCTTGCAGTAACAGCATCAGAGTTCCTGCTTTAGAATGAAGTATCTAAATCAGCTGCAAGGAAAGCTTTCCCGTCTCTTCACCACCTTTCAGGGTTCTAAGAGCTGGATCTCCCCAGGGACTGCACTGCATGCAGTCTGGTTTTGTTCATTTTTTTCAATGCAGGCCAGAAGCTTGATGTTTTCACCATTCAAACTACTGTGTAGTTGAACTAAGATTATTAATACATTTGGAACTAGAACAGAACTTCTCCTGTACTTTTCCAATACAGAGGTGCTAGCAATGTCTGTCATCTCAGTGGCTTTACTCTTGACAGTTGTCAAGATTGCGCTTGGTTGTTTTGTTTTTAGCTGACTCTGTTCTTAAGGCTTATGTTGGTGTAGTTATTTCAGCCAGGGATCACATGTCTTGTAGTCATAGGCAAATGAAATTGAGATGATGTCTTCTCACATGTTATGTGTATTTTTTATACTTTTTTTTTTATTTTCTCGCTCCCTTTGAATAGAGAAGGTTCATGCAGAAATTGAAGCAGTTCTAGGACATGACAAAGTTCCCTCTCTTACCCACAAGGCTCAAATGCCCTTCACAGAGGCAACCATTATGGAAGTGCAGAGGATGACTGCTGTTGTTCCCCTTTCTATTCCTCGAATGGCCTCAGAAACCGCTGGTAAGCGTTTCTAGAGACTTACTAATGCTCTGTTTCTTTGATGGTCTTTGGTCTGATGGGACCTCTAGTGAGAATTTACAAAGACCTCCTTTATGTGTTAGACATGTAACCCATGTATGTAAAATGCCATTTACAGAGAGTAGCTGGGCTTTAGATACTCCTCTATTTAAGCAGCATGTCTGATCTAACATCCAGAAGCATTCTAATTTAGAGCAATTTATTTTCTGGGGGTTGGCTTGTGTTGACTGTTGTACTTAGTGGTCATTGGTGGCTGAGACTCCACTTCTGTATCTGAAACAGCAGAGTTGGTTTTGGCCATCTGACGCATCAAGGTCTGAAAACATCAATTTGGAGCAGTTGATTTGCTAAAGCTTGAAAGGATTATACCATTGAGCTCCACATCTACAGGAAACAATAATAAATATCCTTTTCCAAGTCATCTTGTTGGCAATATGTTTTCATTAAATGACTCACAAGCTTAAGTGAGTGAGAGGTAGCAACACTTGGCTTTCAAACCTACTACTGCATTGATCTGCTTTTAAAATGTTTTGGCTTGCACGACAGTGAGGAGCAACAAGCTGAAATGAGATGAGTCACTTCAGAACTCTTTTGCAGTAAGAGTTCAAATCCCATTCTTCTTCTTTACCTTTGCTGTGGTGGGGTTCTGTGACAGCACAGGAACAGGAGGAAACTGCTTCGCAGTACTTTGATGCAGCAGCTAATTTCTAATGGTCACCGCTGCATTTTCCCATGCCTTTTCCCCACACAGAGGTGCTCCTGTTAACAAAATGTCTTTCCAGCTGCTCTGGCCTGCATGATTTTGACTCAAGCGGCCTAGCATAGATCAACTTTGCTTTAAGCTCCTGCTACATTTGCAGCCCACAGTTAGGGAGCAGTATTGGTTTTGTGACACCTTCAAGTCATCTTTTTGGCAGTATAACTCTCTCATGTTTACTTCTAGCATCTTGTCAGATCCTCTGTCTCTGTGCTTTTGTTTAAAGTGCTGCAGGGATATACTATTCCTAAGGGCAGTGTGATCGTGCCCAACTTGTGGTCAGTACACAGAGATCCTAACATTTGGGAGAAACCAGATGAATTTCAACCATCAAGATTTCTGGATGAAAATGGCCAACTAATTAAGAAAGAGGCTTTCATTCCTTTTGGAATGGGTAAGATATCCACATCCAGTCAGTAGCTGTTTGGGGAGGTGGTGGTGTTTCAAGTGTAGGGCCTTCGAGGCGTGAGATGTAAAAGCTGTGCATAGGACCAGTTCCAGAACTTGTTCTACTATTAGTTAGAGGCTTGCAGGATGGGTTGGGTTCCTCAAGTCTCCAGTTGCCAGGCAGAAATGAGAAATGATGACTTCTCCCTTGATAATACTTTTGCTGCTAATATGAAGCAGTACAGCTGAGCAAGGCTTATATTCAAATATGGGAGACCAAAGCTTCAGAGTTCATAGCTTGATAGTTGTTTGAGCTTTTTTGTGTTTGGACTATGCTAGCATAGGAATTGCATGCATGTTAACAAATGGATCAACAGTATAAGACTAGTAATACGTCTCTTCTAACTGTTCTTTAGGTAAACGTGTGTGCATGGGAGAGCAGTTGGCAAAAATGGAGCTGTTCTTAATTTTTGCAAGTCTAATGCAAAGCTTTACATTTTTGTACCCTGAAAATGCTGCAAAGCCATCTATGGATGGAAGGTTTGGTCTAACTTTAGCTCCATGCCCATTCAACATAATAGCTTTGAAGAAATGATACATCAAAAAAGATTACACAAAGAAATACTGCACTTTTAAAATCCAGCTTTATTTTGTTTCCAGCTTATTTTCTTACTTTCTTCCCAGAAAAACACCAACTGCATAGGCTTTCATAGTCAGTGAGAATGATCCATTTGCACTTCTGGAAAGAGAAGAATTTTTTTTGGCTGCTGTTGCATTCCACAAACAAACAACGGCATAGTTTGCAATTTGATATTAAAACTAGCTGGGCTTAACCCCTCTGTCTATAAGCTCTTACTGTCAGTTTGTCAAACGTTAATTATGGGAGAATGGTCCAAAACATGTATTGATGTTTTAGAAAATAGCAATTTTTATTTTGGTAAAAACAGTATGTAAACATTTATTTTACCAAATGAGTGAAGGACATCATCTGATACCAAAAGGATTAATGAGTGAGAGGGTATTAGCATTTTCTGTGTAAAGAAACATTGTAACTGAGCTTAACTAATAGCAAATTGTTTTTGGAAATTACTAAATGACACTTCTTTTAACTTTGGAGGTTACTTCTTACAAGTAACTCACAGGTTTAGACTGGATCTAATCAGTGTGGATTCCTGGATCCAGACATTCTTGGCTATCAGTGCTTGCTATAAACAAGCAGGTATCAACTCTGAAAACTCAGGCTTGGAGGACTAATGAATCCTTGAATATACCATGTTCTTAACATGAAAGCAGTGTGGAGCATCTGGATGCAGATGTTCTCTCTCAGAATATAAATGAGAGCAGATTTCTCTAACAAGAAACAGCAGAAGTCTGTACTCTCTGGTGCCAAGCAGGTATTCCAGACATCTGTGCTGCCACTTCGCATTTGTGGTTTTCCCCACATCAGCAGTGGTTGCAGTGTGGATGAGACCAACAGCCCATTCATTAGGGAAAACTATACATGCATAATCCTGACACTGGGGCTTGCACTTGTTTTTTTCACTTACAGGAAGTGTGGACAGTACTGTCACAACCTGTTTGGATTTGGGAACTGGAGTTTTACTTCAAATATGGCATTAATATGGCACTGCACATGTGGATCTTGCACTTTTAGGCATAGAACAGGAGGAATCTGACAAACTTGACATTCGAGTATAAAGACTTTATCTTTCGTATGGAGTACAAAGATCTGTAGTTCATACGGTATTACTGTATCAGCACCTTACTCTTTTCACATGCAAAATTCTAGTTCTGTTCACCACTCTCAAACCAATTACCAAGGAAGCCTACTGCTAGGTGTTTCACAAGGGGGCACTCAGTCTTTTATTTGAAAGATTTTTTCAAACATTGAAAGCAATCTTTTGAGGGACATGTGACAAATCACCTTTAAATAATTGTTCTTCATCATCTTTAGATCACTTTATATACACCTTTTTATCTAGCAGTACTTCATATGACATGAAGTAAGTATGTAAGTATTCTTTTAAGGAGATACATATTTTTTCCACCCCTCATTGAAGATCTAGAAAATATCTGCAGTCCTTCTAATGTCAAGTTTACAAGACTGAAATGTAAAATGGAATTGGGAATTGCATAGCAGAAATTAAGTCTAAATTGTAAAGGAAGAATTGACTCTTCAGCTTTAAGTTAACCTCTGGTTTTGTCACTTTTTAACTTGGAAGTTTTAAAAGCCAGGTAGTGCCTAGCAAAAACTGTACCGTAGTTATTTTGAATTTAAATTAATGTTTCCTGTTATGTGTTTTGAATAACATAGTGTCTTAATTTCTGGATGATGTGTTTGGTTGGTCGGGTACCCCACTATTTGTGTGACAACTTCCAGTTCATATATAGGCTAACTTACGACTTCAGAGGTTAGCCCTTGCTCATGTTAAAACTTTTTCTTTGGGGTTTTCAAAAATGTCATACGTAGCATGGTAAAAGTTGAGGTTTGTGCCAATGCTAGTAAACTTGCACTAAGCACTGACAGTATTGGAGTAATAAGCACTTATTTCTTTAACTTTCTATTTTTCAATGGATAAATAGATTTTGTACAGTTGGGATTTTTGTCTGGAAGTCCTTGAAATGGTGTATGCTTAATTGCGAAGCTAAAAGTGTGTGCTAATAATATTTATCTTTCTGTTGAAATGCGTCTTTCAGCCACATGATGATGTGTGCAACTGATCGCTCATGTAAAATACATGTCCTTTTAATCAATGAGGACACATTTGAAAAGCACTTTAGTTTTTTTTACAGATTCCAAAGAAGGCACAATGCCCATAATCCCCTAGGTGTGGAATTGTACATGATTGTGCTTGTTTTGCCTGCTGGATTTAGTTTAAAATGTCACCTTTGAAAACTATCCTTTCAAAATTATCCTTCTACAAGTAGCACTTTGAGAATGTGGATTTTGGTGATACCTATCATCAAAATGCTGCATAGTGCAACGAGATGAAACTACTGATGTGAAGGAGCAACCATGTCGATGTCTGCCAGAATGCAGGATGCTGTTGGGAGTGACAATAAAGACCAGCCTTTCATGCCTTCCAGATGCACTGAAACTTTCACAGGATGCCATGAGAGTAGCTAAACAACAGCATAAAACCAGTGAAATATTTGTTGTTTTAGAAGTGTGTTACCATCTTTGGTAAGCTGTAAGTAAAAGTGGTAGCAGATTTGGGTTGTGTTTGTAAATGTATCCTTCCCCTCCCTTTTTTTTGGCAGAGGAAGCATCTCGAATGCCTTGTTGAAAAAAAAAATGTATGTTTATATAAGTGAATGGCTATTTCTGAATGCTGAAAATGTCTTTATTTCTAAAAGTGACTTCAGACTTAACTTCAGTGTAATTTTATTTTTAATAAAGTAATTTCCAAGTAAGTTGTTTTAATGAATTCTGCTTATCGTTTGAGCTTGTGATGTTTGGTGTTTTACATCTTAAAAAGAAAGCTTTTGAGTAAGAGGATGTTATGAAATGTTTTGGATGAGGAGTGGAGAAGGTGGGAGAATAAAGTGGAACTGGGATGATACAATGCCAGGCATGTTATGTCCAAATGCTAGAAAGAGTGTATTTCAAAACCACTGCTACTCAGAATAAAAGGAGAGGGAAGAGTAGAGCTGAGGAAGATAGAAGGGCAAATGAGCTTTCACCAGGAGGAGATGCAGAGTCTGACGAACGATGTTGGAAAGAGTTTAAGTGTGATTTTGTTGGACTCCCAGTGTATAGCAGGTCAGAGGAGGAAGGGGATGCTCAGGGAGAGCTTGGGGTGGGGAGCAGATTGCCTCTGGCCTCGAGGGAGCCCAGGGAGAGGCAGAAGATGCTTGTGTGCAGAGAGGGAGGGAGGGCTGAGCTGGGGGTGACTGAAGTGCTGGTATGTAGCAAGAACTGAGCGCTTGGAGCCACAGCTGTGTGTGGAAATCCTGTGTCTTACACCCTGGAGTAGGTTGCAGGTAACTTGGCACAGTACTATATATTTCTTTTAGGTGATTACATTAATTACCCACTTAACTGTCATTTATACACAGGGAAAGATAACTCTGAGTCCGTGGGTAAAGGTGGTTCCAGAGGCCACTTGCTGCTCCTGACTAATGTGCTGTCAGATGAGAGTGAGCGAGGAAAGGGGGGATTTTTTGCATCGCACTCTTGGTATAAAGTGTAGAGATACGATAGACTTCACTTCTTTTGTATGAAGAAAGCGAGTTGCTTAATGTTTAGCCCGATGGTGACTCAAGTAGAATATGCTGCAATTGCTGGATTATGAAGTACCCCTGTTGCTCACTGGAATTGCTGGTCCTTCTGGTAATTAGATGGAAAACTACGGTGGCCGTCTGCACCTGGTGTGCTTCAGCCATTGGTGTTTATAAAGGAAGGATTATAATTTTTAATTTTACTGTATAGTTTGTGCTAGCCTGAAAATAAAGTCTCCTCCTAGTCTGGCAACATTCATTTTATGGGTGCTCCGTAATGCTTTCTAATGCTGAGAAAACGAGCAGTGCGACAGAACGTGACCGTTTGCAGGCTGTGCAGTGACCTCTGCTGCAAGGACAGACACTGGAGCAGACTGCCCCAGATCTGCCGCTGCCCAAGCGCCATCCCGGGACTCGCAGGGACTTCAGCTGCGGTGCTCACCTCCGCGCTGCTACTCGGTTCCTCTTCAGCAACCACAAGTTGCGGGGGCGAAGAACTCAACACGGGCCCGGGGCGGCGGCCGCCACCACCGCCACCGCTCCCCGGGGCGGAGCGCTCCGCTCGCTCCGCCCGCCCCGGCCTCGCTGCCGCCTCTCGCCCAGTGATCCCCGCTGCGCGCGGTCGCCATGGCCTTCGCCACCCGCCACTTCGTGCGCGCTGCTTCCTCCGCCGCCGCCACAGCGGCCGCCAAGAAGCTGATCGTCAAGCATGTGACGGTCATCGGCGGCGGCCTCATGGGCGCCGGCATCGCCCAGGTGAGTGCGGCCCGGCCCGGCCCGGCGCGGCGGCGGGACAGGGGTGAGGGAAGGCGGCGGCGCCATGACGGCTGCAGGGCGGCCGTTACTCGGCGCGTGCAGCGGGAAGGACCCTCGCGCTTCGCTGAGGGATGGCCGGGTGAGGCGGGGACGCCGCTGGCGCTGTGCTCACCCGAAGGACGCGCTGTGCGGTCAGCGGGGACCCTTTCCCGGGCAGTGAGAACCCCGGCTCCAGCCGCCCAGCGCTCCCGCGTCCCCTTCGTTTCCTGGTTTCTAGTGAGGGAGCCGAGCAGGCCGGGGTGTATGGCTGTAGCCGGCACCGGACGGGAGCGGGGTGCCCGTGAGACGGAGCGGCGGGGCGTCACGTGCCGGGGCCAGCTGCCGGCCCGGCCTTGCCGGCGACCTGCACGGGTCGAGCCGCCGCTCCGAGTTGTGAGGCGGGAGCGGTGTTTAGAGTGAACGAGAGAAAAATTGCGCTTTCCCGAATTTATTACAGGTCATTTCATGCTTCCGCCCCTGGCAGTGTTCAAGGCCAGGCTGGACAGGGCTTTGAGCAACCTGGTCTAGTGGAAGGTGTCCGTGCCCGTGGCAGGGGATTGGAACTCGGGGATCTTAAGGTTCCTTCCAGCCCAAACCATTCTGTGATTCTATGCTGTGTTTGTGTGAGAAGTGGTGGCTGCTCTTGCACTGGAGAGCTGTACGTGTGAGCAGCAACACCTGTCTGTGACCCTGGCCCATGAAACAGGTGAAGTGTGTGGTGGGTCTCACCCCGTCAGCCTCTGTTTTGCAAGGCATACTGGGGAACCAGCGTGGGCAGTGTGTACTCATCACACCACGAGCATGAGGGCTGCTGGCGGTGTGGAGGGACGTGTCCAGGCTGCCCTGTTGGCAGACCTGTGTGAGTTTGGGGTTTACTGCTGCTGCGGGGGAGTAGAAAGTACTGCTGAACCCCTGCTGCCCGGTTGCTCAACCTTCAGGCTTTCTGTTCTCTTGTTAATCCGCATGTCTTCAGGTCAGACAGGTGGGCAAGAAGAACCAAGGTCAATGCTATAAATTGTTTAAGGTGGTTCTTAATACAATATGTGGACTACTTATAAACCGGGCTGTTTGGAAAATACTGGTCCAGGAAGCTTCTGACTTGCCAAGGGAACAGATCAAGTGACGTTTTACAAGTTATTAAAGTAGAATACAGCATCTAAAATGGACATTTATCTGTCAGTCATCTGCAGAGTTATAAAATGGTTAATATTTACATAGGACTTACTTTCCCAGTGTTTAATCTCAGGCCTTTGGCTTTAAAGCTCATCTTTAACTTGATAGTTTGGGGCAGAAGACTGAACAGTCCTATCGGTGATTTAAGATTTAGATACTTGTCTCCTTCACAGAAAGACGTTGTTGCCCAAGATACCAGGGTAGCTCACAAACTTCACAAAGAATGACTGGAGGATGAAGGCGTCCACAAGTGGAATCAGATAGTGAGGTTGGAGTTCATAGATAGTTGTTCTCCATTTTAATGAATTAATGGTTTTCCTTCTCAGGACTGAAGATTGCTCACATTCCTGGCAGTAGGAATGCAGGGGCTTTTTCTTTTTTTTTTTGCTAAGGAATTAGCTAGTTGTTTATTAACTTGTCTGGTGAATCTTCTGCTCTGTATCTTGATACTGGAACATGAGGTTTCCACTGAGCGAACAATCAAAGAACAACTTTGGAGAAAGATTTTGTGGAGAAAGATGAACGATTTGAGGCAGATGCATGCTATGCAACGGTTATAATTCTGCAGGAAAAGTAAACTCATCTGCATAATCTGAACATTTTCAGAGAGTGGCTTGTCCAGGGACGCATGTCTGGTATTTGCCTCTAACAGAGCTCGCAATCTTCTACCACTGTTAAGGACCAGGTGTGATTTTGCTGACCATCTGCCTCCAATTTATCAATCTGAAATTATCTCAAAGCAGAGATGTTTAAAACACTGAGTGGGGTCTCCTCCATTTGCTGTTAATACAGCTTTTTGTCCTTTTTAGAATATGTAAGGAGTTGTCCCTCTTTCTTTCTCATAATGTCAGGAAAAGCTAACCTCTGCTAAAATATATGGATGAAAGCCAGGGGTTTATAATTTCTGATACAGAAGCACTTCTGTCTGAGAAAAGCATTAATTGACTCCCCAGCACTCTTTTGTTACTTAGTATTCTTCAGATCATTTCATAGTAGAGTGAGGGAGGATGTGTGAATTACAAGGAGATGATATGACCCTTTGTCATTTTTCTTCTTATCCATGTAAATATGGTAAGAATAAGAAGGGAAAAGGGAGATGTTAATTTTTCTAGGATTTTTTGTCAGCTGGTCAGTGGCGGTGGTGTAGGTGTATAATCAGTGAAGGATCTGTTATAAATGTACTTGGTATTGATTTTTTTTTTTTCTGAAGAGTGGAGGGTCTTGCTTTACCGTTGCAAATAATCAGCAGCAGATGAAGTGTTAGGAGTGCAAGTCCAAGCTTGGTTTAAATGTTGGGGTTTTTTATGATTTGGTTGTTTTGATGAAATGCCTATAATGAAAATAAAATAACAAAAAAAAAAAAAGATGGATAAAGACATGTCCAGCTGCAAGCTGACATGTTGTTAAAGCTATACTGCTGCTGTCCAGAAGCAGTCTGGCATTTCTTTATTTGATGGATTACTGAGGCAACTTAGATGAGAAAAGCACCATGCTTTTCTTCAGGAGATACCTCTGTATTTTTCATTCAGCTAGGCTTGTTGGAATAGGTCTTGTGGGCACAGGAGAATCTTTAGTCTCCAGGTGCAGGGTTAGATGGTAAAGTAAAACGTCACAGGAGGGAAGCACCTAGGTTATGTGACTTCAGAAACAGCCAGTGAAACCATGTTTTAATCTGTTTTCTGCAATTGCTGTATTGCAACTTGTTAGTTCAAGGATTCTGAAGACAAAGATAGGCTGTGGCTAACTAACGAGAAACAGAAATTAATGAACGGTGTAGTAACAGATAATGAACAGCTGATTTTTAATAGGCTGTTGCAATGTGAGAAAGTGACATTGTATGTTTGAAATTAATTGAATACCAACCCAAAATGCAATGCAGTAGTGCCTTAGCTGAGCCAGTGTTTGTGCCAAGTACATAGTAAGGAGTGTTTGCAGGCCACTTAGGTCTCTGCAGCCCTGGAGTGGCAAACGTTTCACTGCTACTCCCAGCTCCACTGTTGCTTTCCTGTTATTGAGACATGCTCATGGCTAATCATCAGAGTTGTTACACTCTGACCCAGGAACAAAGGGTTAGCCATCCCTTACGCCTCTCGCTCACCCTGCCAGCATTCAGGTTTTGCTCTTCACAGCCCTTTTTCCTTCCAAGATCCGAGGATCACAGCTAAGCTACTTGCTCTTTTCAAGACAGCTGTTTGTCTTCTATCCATAACAGCAGAATTCATCTGCCTCCAGGTACAGG